GGGGTTTTTCCATCGGCTCTGGAGGGAAGCGGGGATGGACGGGTTGTGTTGTGCTGGTGGACAGGACGGTACCGGCTGCCCCTGCCCGAGGAGCGCGGGCGTTCGGGCTGGACGTGGCCGCTGCGGTGCGGACCCCCGGACCGAGCGGCACCCAGCTTTGCGCCCGTGTGGGACGGGGTGCTGCGTGACAGGGAGCGGGGCGACCTGCCGCGTCTGTCCGCGGTCCCGGGACCCTCAGGGATTCCCAGCCTCGGTACTGTTAGACCTGTTGACTGGAAAACCGGAAGGCAGGTCTCCCAAAACGGGTGGCTTTGTCTCATCTTTGGTTTTCTTTCATCATCTGTATTGAGATGGCTGGATTCTCGTTTCCAAGCTTTTCTTAGCAATGTTGAGAGAGACACACGCAAACTGGCACCAGCTTTTTTTGTCTGTTTGGTCCCAAACTATGCCTGTTTTATCCCTCACTCACAGCCGCTTCTGGTGAAACATCCCTCAAATTCCCCCTGAGACAATATTACTGCATTAGCTCCTCAAAGTTTTTGATTCCACCTTACTCAGCTGTAGACTTCTATCTTTCCTGTTCACTAGGACAAAAATTCTGCCTTTTTTTTTTTTTCTTTCTACTAGTATTGTCTTATATGGACCTTCATAAAATCCAGCGGCTGAATCCATGATGAAGACCTGTAAAGGCATGCAATCAGATGGAAGTAATTACAGCACAGATATTCTTAATGAGCAAAACATCTACAATTTTTGAAGCAAGTATTTTGAATTATTCTCATTTAGCAGAAGACGTGGCTTTATTGAGTACTAAGCTTTAAAAAAAATCAGAATCAGGACAGCCACGACATCCTCCCCCCGACACAGACAGAAGTCTAGAAATTAAAAACATTATTTACGGCAGTTGATGGAAAGAAGAGCATCTTTAAGTCTGGTAGGCGGAAGTCAACTGTATGATGTACATCAGTGCTGGTAGCTCAGCAGTCTCACAACTCTCAACTGCGTCTTGCTCCATATGACTGAGCTTTAAGAGGACTTTTGCTTCAGATGGGTTAACATAATTTCTCGAAATGAACGAGCATGCATCTGGGAGTGGGGATTCTGAAAATAAGAACTCTGAAAAACCAGGACATACCCACAGTGAGTCACCGCTGTGCAGTTGTTCTGAGAAACCAAGTAGTTTTCGTATCACCCAACAGTGCACACTAAGAAAAAGAACTGGGAACAACTGGAAGTGAAACTAGCATAACGTAATCTGTCAAAACTAAAGAGTAATCTGGTAATGGAAGAGATACTGCATTTTACAAGTAGGTGGCAGCATTATCCCCTGGATCTCTCTCCCCTACATGCCATAAATGTATTTTGCTAATTTGTGTTACAGGACAGTACATAAACTAGTAATTTCTCCTACTGTCTTTTGATAAGGTTGCATATGTATGATAGCCAAGCACATTTAATTCCACAAGATTTTTTTGAAAAAAACCTTAGCTTTTCTGTATAGTACAGACACTATGTATATGAGGAAATACAAGTCTGAATTTCACAAATTGTGTCTTGAGACCCAGAAGTGAAAGACATTTTTGGTTGTCATCATGTACTTAGGTTGCCTAACACCTTCTCACAGCTTTGCCATTCATTCAGCCCACAACTTTCTCCATGTCCATTCCTGAATTTCCCATTCTTGGTGGAGGAAAACAAATTCTGATGAAGCTAGCTAAAAATATTTCATAGCAGCCTGCTCCCGTGGGAGTGGACTGCCTTTGCCCCATGCCCTCTGTAATATACAAACAAGAACTCCAAAGGAAGAGGTCTCAGCATACAGCTGTGACTTTCATGTGAAAGGCACCTGTGTCTTCAACTAGGTCACCAGCGCCCTAGAGTCTTTCAGTTTTTGTCAGGATTTCTTTTTCACTAGTCTGCCAGTTAGCCATCTCCCTCAGCAGTCAGCCAAGTCCTGGGGCTAGCACGAGGAAGGAGTGGAAATGCACAGCCAGGGTGGAAAAATGAAGATGGCACTGGGCCAGCACTGGCATGAATCAACTTGAACTGGTATGAAATGGCATCTTTAGTTGAGCATGCAGCTGTGGCTGTCTACACATCTCTTAAATATATTGGAAAGTACCCTGAGCCGAAAGCAAGGTGAAGACAGCAATTTGGGGGACAGTTCCTCTGCCAATTCATGTTAGGTCTCTGCAATTAGCAGTACTAAACCCAAAATACATAACTCAGTTTTCTGTGGGCCTTAAACTGAGGTAAATCTCAACCGCTTACTGAACTGCAAGTGGTATGTTGTCACGCTATTCCAAACTCCTCGAGAAGTGTTCCTGCTGCCTGGCTTGCCAACGGGCCCCAGCTGTTCTCCTGCTGCCGCACGGCGAGGCTGGAGTGGAAGGGCCCTGCTTACTGCTGCAGCAGAGCGGTCACCTCCTGGTCTGCGCTGCCAGCAGAGCAGGCATTCGGTTGCTGGTGGCGTGTGCAATCTGCCTGCTCCTAGCAGGGAAAGGAAGGCTGCCCCCAGATACGCTAGCTGGGTGTTTCGAAAGATTCCGTTGCTTTGTCCTTCTCATATGCAGCGCAGGAATGAAAAACCGGATCTCTTGAATTCAGATAAGGAGGAGACAGACTCAGTTTTAATGCAGAAGAGGTGCAAATAATTTGTAGTACTAAGAAACATTTAGCAGGCAATTATTAACCACTAGAGGGGATCACTGGAGTGGAGAAGGAATTGACTACGCTACGTACTAAATGCTTTCCTCTAACACAAGCTTGTCTACGTGCAATGTTGTACTGTATGTGCAAGGTTTAAAAATAATTGAGAAAAGGCAGCACTTTATGCATGCTTAAGTCGATATAAGAAGCTTATATTAATTGAGTTTAAAACAGATCAATGACAGGTTTAATTGTTGAAATAACTTCTTTACACAGATTTTTTTTTTTATCAGTTTAAATTAATGCAGGTTAAACCTGTTCAACCTCCATCTGTAAAAGAGCACTAGCCATTCTTTTAACCTTTTAAAAAAATAGGCACTGTTCTTCAGACTTGCTGACATTTAAACAAGCATAGCTTGCTTTTTTTGACAACTAATGTTAAATTGCTTTTAATCCTTCTATAAACTCCTTAACTTTAAGGATGATTTGGGAGTACCCACCCCAGGCAGTATCAACTTAATTACATGTGCTAGTTAAGACTGATATGTATATAAATTACATCAATCTTGAAAATGAAGTAGATGTGAATGAGGGGTATAGGAACCTCACTGAACCTGAATGGATTTATACGACGTGCAGGAATCCTGCCCATCAATTTAAGGGCTACCCTACTGAAATTGAAGCTGACCTCCCATCATAAACATTTGACTTAGAAATCACCTTTCTAACATCTCCCAGACCAAACCAAGCCACCTCAAGCAGTGACATCAAAGTTTCCAATCCAAAATTAATTCTTGCGAGAAATTATGCACAGTGATGAATTCTGCAGAATGAAATTTTCAATTGCTTGAAAATGGGCTGCTCTCAAACTACTTTCTTGGAGCACATGTCTCTGCGCGGATGGTGGCGGAGAGGTCAGAACCAGGCAGTCATCAACACCTTGCGCAATGCCTGCAACGTACTGACTGGTCCTCTTTTTCCAGGACTTGTCTAAGGAGACAGTGGCTCTTCATTGTCCTTGAGTTGGAATAAAATGAATAAGGCACAGTCTAGCTCTGTGATCTTACAGACTTCATTGCACAC